CATGGTATAATATTATTACACGCAAGACGTCTATTTTGCAATTTACGGGGGTCGACGAACGATTCCGCGTAATTGACACGACGATCAATAGCGTCGATCTCGAGATCTAATCGAGATAGCCATCTTCTATAGGCGTTTTTGCTCGCCGCTTCTGTTTTGACGAAGCCTTTCCAGAAATGGTAAAGTCGGTTTAACACCGCGAAGCTGTTGGCAAGAGTGATAGTTCTCATCTAAAACTCTACAGCGACACATAAAATTAAAATTATCCTATCTATACACAATAGACCTCAATACACAATACACAACCCCTCAAATAAAATATAATTATATTACGAGAGCTCCAGTTATTTTCAATCGAGCGATGATCTTTCATACCCGTGACTCGATTAAGCGTTGCGGTAATTTATCTGTGCATCATTGGATTGCGTTTAGTAATCGGTAAACAATAAAGAAATTGAAAAGGAGCGATCCAAGCGTCCGTGGGGGCCATTTTACGCACACCGACGACCGTTTTATAATTCAGAGGGGACGATATACGACTCGCGCGTAATCGATCCGACGATCGATAGCTCCGATCGCGAGATCTAATCGAGATAGTCGGTTCGACACGACGTTCTTGCTTTTGAGGAAGCCTTTCGAAAAGCAGCGCCGCGCTCTTTGTTAATCGTCGCGCACACGCGCTCATTGGTTCCACCGTGTACTATAATTATTCACACTCCATAATGCGGTACACGGGCGATATGTAATCCCCCGGACACGGGCTGAAAGGGAAGTGTACGGGCCCAGTTCGTGTAATTATACACTTCGCGGACTTAATCTCCTAGGAAATTGTATTATGATTTTTACGGATTCCCATGCGTTGTGTCGTAAATCCATTCGCCGGGCGAACGGGGAGAAAACCGTGTACGAACGAATGAGCTTCGAGTTTTCAATACTCCCGAATTAATCACGCGGCGTGTATTTCCATTTATCCCGTTTCGCTGCTTTTATTTATGTAACGTATGAATATTAGTGGAACGGCGATCCTAATCACCGATAAAGAAATCGTGTTTCGTTGAACACCGATTTCCGTTCTTTCTCTTTCAGTCGTTTCGAGACTGGCCATGGAAAGTGGAGAAAAATGTAATAGAATTCAACGTTCCTGTCAAATTTCTTATCGGGATAATAATTTGAATGATTAGAAGATAGACTATGTTTATCTTGTTCAATAATTAATCACAGTCTGATTCATAAAACAAAATTATATTCCACGATTTAAAATAATATCCTTGAATACACCAAAGGATTCTTCTTCTATGGTGAAGCTGTTCCAAGAGGATTTTATCTTAAACCCACCTATCGGTTGGAAGTCGTTTTTCCTATATGCGGAGGCACCCTTAAAAAAATTTTAATAACAGCCATCCAGTGGATAAAGTGCGACGAATGATCTGAATTTCCTCATCACGGAGACTGTTCAAACGTTTAGTCGCACTTCGGCCAGTGGATGGCTGTTATTAAGATTTTTATCGCCGCTGAATTTCATGCGAAGTCTTCACATATATGGGAGGTAGCTACCAACTGGTAGGCGCGTCTACCGAAACAGGATCTTCTTCAACAACCATAGCAAAGAGTCCTGAAACGTCACAATAATAATCTTCACCGACGGGACAGAATACAGAGTGGCAAATCTATCTCTCTCTCTCGAAGTTAATTTACAAGATTGTACTATAGCACGACATAAGTAGAAACGATAAGCAATAGTCAGACACGTCGAATTCCCCGTGGATCAAAAGACGAATTAAAGATGTTATCGATGCTACCCGGTATCCTTCGACGTCCAGAAATCCTCGAGAACGAAATGCAGGCGCCCGCTTCGAAATAATTTTCAGTCGGATACGCCGTACGCGATTAATTGAATCCTCGCCTTTGATGCCGCGCGAGTTATGATAAATATTTTTCCACGATAGGATCGCCGTACGGCGAGATAAACTTGTCCGGTTGAAATTTATTAACGCGCGCGCGGTTACGTGCGAGAAGAAATCGGCTTTATAAATATTATACGAGATACGCGTGTTCCGCGGCCGAACTGGTTCTCGCAGGCGCATGGAGCTGTCAGCGTTGCGTTATCGGTTGAACCAGTTACCCCCGGTCGCAGTGGCTCTCGTCGATCCCAAAAATTTCAAAACTTCGCGCAGGAGGCCCCGCCCGTTGCGTAAACGCGAGATCTTTGCACGCGCGTCGATCGCGAGCAAATTATGCATCTTGGCGTGGCTGTCGTATGCAAAACTCCTAAAATTATGTCTTGAAACTAAAACTATGTTAAATTTGCAGAGTAAACCTTGTTACAATTTTTACAACAATATCGATTTAATTATCAATGTAAGGGTACATCAAATAGTAGAAGCCAACGAGCTATTATTATAAGACTGCGAATGTCTATCCATTTATGGGAAATTTTATTCTTAAAGAGTTACAGACTTAATATGAGAAAATATAAGAAACGAAGTAAGATAGGAACTACTGTATTTAGGGGTTGAGACAACCCTCTACAAAGCATTCTGTAGAAAACTATATCGACGTGATTTTAAGAGAACAGCTATGACGAGCATGAGGGTGAATTCTACTTTGCCTTTTGAGAAATTAGAAACCAGTGAACGAAGAAAAACATCGAAGAAAATCAGAAGTCCAAACGAGAAACAAGATTGCGGTAAGCAAAGGTACAGAATGCGCAAGAACATTTCTCATAAAAATCGAAAACAATCCAGCTTCGTGTACACGAAGAAGAAAAAGAGAAGAGCCAGAATATCGTTGGAGAAGTAATAACAAAATTACAATCTACAAAGTCTGTGCCGCTCAATTCAAATTTACCATATTGGACAAACTATGAAGGATTAGGTCTCCTCGTTGAGCGTAACAACGAAGCTCCACCTTGGACGATTTAGTAATTTCTGAAGCCCGGTAATCGAGAAAATTGAACGTTCGCGGGAAGATCGCGAAAAATAAAACACGTGTACGTTCCGATCGAGACGCGACGTTTCTGTCATTTTCGTTAGGAGAGTTGTTTGCGGACGGTAAATTCTTCCCGCGTGCGAAATTACATTAAACCAAGTACGTGTCGAGCATGCCCCGCGATATCTCGTCCGCGATACGGTCCGCGGCGAACGATTTCTCGAAACAAAACCGTCGAACGACGGGGTCCACCGGTGTCCGCGGTAATTTACGAACTAGACAACGGACGTATTATTTGGCATAATCGGCCTGGAAAGTATGCGAAACGTTAACTTCGCGCGGTCTGTGTCCCATTAAACTCGCCACGGGGCGAGCACGCTTACGCGTCAGACTGCATAACCAGCATATTGGTCATTTAATTATTGTACGCTGTCTCATAAATTATTCATTTCCGTAAGTTTGCCGATCCGACGGTATTATTTATTGCACGCACGTGAATCGGGTAACAAACGCCGTCTAATTATTCCCGCAAAAGACTGATATTTCTGAGCAATTTATGGCTATCTTTCGCCTACCCCGGAGCATCCGCTGTTTCAGTTTCGCGCAGGCCTCGAATCAACACGTACGACGTGTTTTGACTGATACTTCTCCATTATGATAAACGCTAGTTTACGATCTCATCGACAGTTTACCGCGGCATTCTAGATTTTAAACGAGACTACAGCAGGAAAAAGAAAATCGCACGAAGCTACGGACTAAAATGGTCAAAATTGATAGAGAACGAAAGCATGCCTCGATAAGATTTCTTATATCGTTGTAATGTAATGTTGTATCGATCTACAATCGCTAGACTGGGGATGTTTATGTATCTATGAACAAACGACAATAGTTTCTTAATATGAAGAAAGTACACTGATCGGTGAGGTGTCAGTGAAACGTCAATGAACTCGATCGTTCGTCTAATAGAAACCCTGAGACAGGCGGGTACTTAACCGAGCTGTTTGCTCGAAATGAGTAAACATGGGAGTATTCGTTTAGCATAGAAATATTTACAGGGTAAATTCCCCAAACCCAACACTGCCTACCTATGCACTCATCCAGGCACCTAATCTGACACGGAAACAACGGAACCAAATTGTAAAAGGGCCAAACGCCGATGTTTGCACCTCTTAAACGAACGTCTTTCATTGTGACGACGCCATTGCCGCTTACAAAGACTCTGAATCCTTCCTAGATAAACCAAAGCGCATTAATGGGCCTCTACTATTGACTATGATTTGCATTTAAAAACTCGGTAGCTGTATAACCAACAATTTATACTTTTAACAATCTCTGATCGCTGAATCTTACTTGAATTTCCAAGTGTCAAATGTAAACAGCATGTTTGTTAGCTTCAGCTATCTTTTTAAGAAAAATTACAATTCGAAATCGAACCTTGGACTTAGTTATTAATGATTCGTTTTGGAATCATCGTCACACCTTTAATAACTAATATCTACATTCGATAATTCGAGCATTAGTTTCTCTGTGAATCAAAATCCTGAGATGTTTGGAAGTTCTTTCATAAACCGAGCATTCACAAATACTCGGAGGAACTATAAAGAAGGATATTTTGATAGTTATTAGTTCCTATGAACTGAAACCCCGCGAGAAGTGTATAGAAATACTCTTGGAATCGTGAATCGAAATCCTGAGAAGTTTGGAACCTCTTCCATACCCTGATCGTTCACAAACACTCAGAGAAACCATAAAGAAGGATATTTTTGATACTTCTGACAGTGGTTACTCATTAGTTTCTTCGTAAATGAAAACCCTGAGAAGTGGAGAACCTCTCCCATAAACTAAACATTGACAAATACTCGGATGTACCATAAAGAAGAATATTTTGATGCTCGATACTTTGAACCGAATCCCTCGAAAGTGGCGAACCTTTCTCCTAAACTGACCATTCACGAATACTCTTAGGAACCGTGAACCAAAATCCTGAGGAATCAGTAACCCCTTTCATTAACTCCCAGAGGAGTTATCTTCGCTAGAAAGAGCCCTCCCCCTCCAGAAGATGATGAACTAACCTGTAGTACGGAAATCCCTGATGAACGTGGAGATCCATAGGCATGGCGGGGTGCGTGGGCCCGTGATGTGCCGGCGCGGGTGCGTACTCACCCCCGGCGGACAGGGGTGGCTGCATCATGCCCGCCGCGGCGGCCGCATGGTGTCCGGCGAGCATCGCCCCCCAATGGAAGCCCGGTGCACCCGGCATCGCCGACGGATGTTCCAGTTCGAGGCCGCGGTGACTCGCGGCGGGTAAGACGCCACTTCCGGCCGATCCACCGGCGATACCAGCGGCTCCACCAGCACCGCTTCCGGCGACACCGCCGCCGCGGTGCATCAGCCAGCCCTCCACCACGAACGTCGATGGCTGTCCGGGGTACGTCGAAAACACTGCACCCTCCCCGATCACACTGGCCGCGGGCAAGCTTACCACACTGCGCGACAACCAACCAACAAACAACAACAACCAACAACAACAACCACACTTTGGGGTCCAAAAAACGCGTAGGCGCTTCCGTAACGTCCCGGCACCGAGAGCCTCCGTTACCCCGGTGACAGAGACTGAAACGAACGCGCGCACCGTGCAATCCACCTCCTCCTCCTCCTCCTCCTCCTCCACCTTGGTTCGTCGTCACACAACCACCGCGCAACCAGATCCCCGTCGAGAATCACTTGACAACACACTGTCGACACATGTTCGGCGGGTCCAGGGGCGACGCGAGCCGGCGGCCTCTCCGAGAGCCTGCCACCGGCTCCGGAACACGGCTCACCGGACACCCTCGCGTTCCTAATCGCCAGCAGAGACCGCGGTTCGCCGCCGCGAGGCAGCCCGTTCTAACCTGGTGCGCGCGTACGTCGCGCGTCGCGGATGGGTCACGTTCACGCGTGGGAGACAGGTGTTCCTGTAGCTTCCTCTCGCGAGCCGCTGCAGCTTGGACGGACCCGGAGAGTGCCGCAGCCTTTGGCTCGGCCATGAATGACGCGCCGCGCTTCGAGCCACTTCGCGGAGGCGGGGCCTCAATGCGCCCACGTGACACCTACCGCCTCCATCCTCTCCCTCTTCACCCACTGCCGCCGCCGAGCGACGGACGTCCTACCTAACCGCGACCCGCGATCCGCTATCCCTACCGAGCTGCCCCCGACCTCCCACCACCACCACCACCAACCACCACCGTCGATACCGTGCACCCTCACAATTTTCGACTCCAAAAACGGATTCCTGCCCCACGATTACCGGGCGATCGCTACCTCAAACCGCCCCACGACCCCGGAAATTTCCAAGGGAATGCTTTAACCCTCTGCAAGTTTAAACTAATAACACAATTGCAACTGGTATCGTTAGCTCGTATTAATAAACGCTCTCCAAGTGCAAACGGTTAATCTCTTCTCGAGCTTGGAATTCTAGTACTGCTTTCAGGTGAGTTTTACTAAGGGGGTGTGTTTTGACTGAAAAGTAAACATTCTCGAGGAGTTTATATTTCTATTCGGGTTGGAAAAGAATGGTTCAACCCTCGAGTGGATTATTGGGGCCCTCCGCAAGCTTTCAACCCCTTCTCCTACGACGAGTATGACTGGGAAGATGAGTCAAGTTCCAAAAAATTCAGAAACGCTCAAACTACGAGAATCAAACCTGGAAACCATAGAAATACACCCTACAACCTCATGGACGATCCAAGTTCTCAAGAATCGTAACTACCTTCAACCCCATCAAGATTTTCCAAGACCTCTCGCGCTTTGAATTCGATATCTCCGCCATTTTATAGATTGTAAGCGTTCCAAGTCCTCCTCATGACCGGTTGTTCCGACACAAAAAACAGGAGTGAACGCGTTGGCCTCTATGTGGTCCGTTATCGGACGCGAAGCTCGCGAGGCGGAGGAACCGCCTCCGATTACGTGTCACGGAATGAGAGTGCACGTCGACACCCCACGCGAATCGACCGAACCCGTAGACGCAAGCTCGTTCTGACGTAACACTTGTTGAGTCGATTCGACCCCCCTACCGACCCACCGTCTCGCGGCCGACCGTGTCCCTCGGTGGACATTTCGCAAACGACCAAGGGATGCGCGAAGGAATTTCTGTTATCAGCCCCGGACGGGTTCATACGGCGGGCCAACTTTCCAACCGCGTACGATTCTTGTCCATCTTATCGTGTTCCCTGGCGCCCGGGGATCTACCCTGGCTATCGGGTGTCGGACGTCGCCATAACGCTGAGAAATTCGACGCACGCTACGATCCATAAGCGCATCCATTAAACCCATGCACTATTATTTAAATCACAATTATTATCGTTAGGATATAAACTCTATAAGATCTGACTACCCCAGTATACGTGTACAGATTTACACAATAATTTTATAAGCAATTTTGTAATCAATAAGACACGATATTTTAACTACCCCCAAGATGAAAATCAAAGAGTAGAACAGTCGTATAGTTAGTTGACCATGCAAATTATTATACCATCGAAGTCACACATTTCGAATACAATAAATCGCTTTTCACCAAGAATCGACTATCCTCCCTTATTTCTACGACAAACCCCGTATAGAAAATAACTTCAACCCGATCAGAAAGGACTTCCACGTACAACTACAAATCTGATTTGAGTATCTCTAAAACACAGGTGCTTTCCGTTCGAAACTTCTCGCTAGCTCGACATCCAAGAAGCGATTTCTCCTGCAAAATTATCGCGTTCATATTTTACGATCCAGCTCTCTGCAAGTCGCAACGCCCGTGTCTCTGTTTTTTTTTCACGAGCGTTTCCGCGATAGGGATTCGCGGGAGTCCGAATTATTACTTCTAATCAGAGATTCAGGTACGCGAATGGAAAATAAAAACGTAGGCCTGGCGGGAGGGTTAAATCACCCCCGCGCCTGGTTGTAACCGGGCTGCTACAATAAAAAATTTAATCAAAATGCCCTCTTGGTAATTTACAGCTCGCACAGTCTCAACCCTTTTGGGTGGTCGAGGGTGCGAAAGGAGGAAGACAGAGGATGACGGGGGTGGGGGGTGGGTGTTTCAGGCGATCCTGCTTACTTAAACGGAGGGTATACGGGACGATAGAGAGGAAAAGAACCCCGTAGGAGTCATAGAGGAGCGGCGACACAGGCCATTTGCTCGCTCGGGGGTTCGTCCCCCGTAAAAAATAATACTTCTTGTCTTCGCTCATTTGCCGCTGTTAAGCCAGCGTCCCTGGCGGTCTTGTCACTCGAGCTCTCCTACCTTCTTCCTCTTCTCCTCGTAAATTACAAATTAGAGCCGTCCACTTGACTGTTTAACTGTTTGCAGGAGGGCTGGGGTTTCAGCACGCTGCAGCTAAAATATATTTCTGAATTATTTAATTATGTCTTCGAACGTAGACGCGACTGTGTGAAACTTACTCGACGACTAAACTGCAATTTATCTCTCTGTTTCTCTGTTAAACAAAATCATACAAGCTTATTTCATATTAGTCTCTGTAAAGAACTCAATCCCTAATGTATTTCTTGTGTTTTTGCATATTAATTCTATAGCTGCATCCGTAGTCTAGTTATTACAATAATTGGTCGTCCATTTTCGCTTCGTTTATAGAACCTTTCATAGACAACTTCTACACACATCTAATGCAAAATTGTAAAAGTTGTAAAAGAGAAAGACAGAATTATAAACGACAAATAGACAGTGTCTTTGTTCTTTTCAACGTTTGTTCGGTGAAAAGAAGCTCTCCGTCGAAATCCTAATAACCAGAATCTAATCTTTGTGCTCGAATCTCATATGCTCGAAAATACCCGCGATTCGTCCGTGCAGGAACGTTGCACGAAACGTAATCGAATCGTTCAAACGGTAAATTGCCAGAGGCGCCAATTACGGGCAACGGTTTCCCCTCCGGATGGCAATTAAGAAAAACGTAACCGCCTGAAAAGTATCATTCGCGACGATTACGCGAGGATCTATGCAATCGGTTTGGCGCGCGAAACTGTATTAGAATCTTCACGGGCGTACGTAATATGCCGGAACGTACGTACGTAATCCCGTTTCGAAATTGCAACGTGTTACACGTCGCATGATTAAAGGGCAAATCTATGCACGAGAGCGGATTAAAGACCGCAGTCGCAGTAATAATTTATTTACAGCACCGACTTACGATATCCTGGAACCATTAAAGTAGACTTCTCGGAGAAAAGTTTTGGCCGCGTCTGGTCTACCTGGGGTACAGGTGTGAGTCGTAATAACATGGCGGTTGCGCCCTTTAACCTCTAATATCCCCTACCTCGGCGCTGACTTCACTAACGCCGCCACAATCGGGCTCAGGTACACCGCAATCATCCTACCTCTGTATCAATCGCCCCGGACGATTATTATTGCGGATACGCTTAGCATTGCGCGCGTTCTCCACCCCCTCTACGCGACTTTTCGCTAACCTGAACTACATAATACGAGACAGATGCTTCTAAATTCGATTCCACCAACCCATTTCTATCGTTTACTTCGAATTATTAAATTAAATTTTATCCGGGTCCATTTACACCCACAGAAACTATTTATTTCAGGGTCGTATTGCTCTGGTGTTTTTATAAGTAATAGGAATACTAAATTTTTACAAAAGCATATGTACTGTACAGAATGTTCGACCAACCCCGGGAAAAATGTTAATGTGAGATTCTAGAGGCCAAAATAAGACAAAAATCAAGGATATTAATTTGTTGATTGAGGCCTCGTTAAAAAGTTATAGAAACATTTTCGATCACACAGTATATTTTCAGTAAAGAATTTTTTTCTCGAAAGCACGTAGGATTTCGGGGGTATGTGTATTCACCAAAAATGATTATAATTGACCCCTGCAAACGAAAATAATTTTTTTAGAACGATTTGAAATTTTCTAATTTTGTCGAAAAATTTTACACCTTCTCGAATTTTTTTCTCGAAAGTGGGTAGGATTTCGGGGGTATGTGTATTCACCAAAAATGTTTGTAATAGACCCCTGCAACTGAAAATAATTTTTTTGGAACGATTTGAAATTTTCTAATTTTGTCGAAAAATTTTACACCTTCTCGAATTTTTTTCTCGAAAGCAAGTAGGATTTCGGGGGTATGTGTATTCACGAAAAATGATTGTAATTGAGCCCTGCAAACGAAAATAATTTTTTTAGAACGATTTGAAATTTTCTTTTTTCGCCGAAAAATTTAGACACCTACCCCCTGTCGATTTTCCTTAAATTTCGTTTTTGATTTCTAATATTTTTGTTTCACGCCCTACTGAAAAGTTGTCTAATACTTTTTTGTAGGTACCCATGGGCTCTACTTCAGAAAAAAGTTTCATTGAAAAATATTCACTATTGTAGGAGTTATGGATGTTTGAAAATTGGCCGACTTTTATGGGGTTTTTCTTATTTTGCGGCATCAAGGAACATCTTTTCGAATATTTTTGCAACTTCTACATATTCTCCATTAAAATACGCGTAGTTTGCATTTTTAAACATTAAAATCGTCCAATCCGTTCAGGAGTTATGACATTTTAAAGATTCGCATGAAATTTCAGGGGAAGGACTCAATGGTATGGTCAGACATTGTATTTTCGGAAAACAATTTTTTTCTCGAAAGTGCGTAGGATTTCGGGGGTATGCCTATTCACCAAAAATAATTGAAATTGACTCCCACGACTGAAAATATTTTTTTTAGGACGATTTGAAAATTTTTAATTTTGTCGAAAAATTTCACACATACTCGAATTTTTGTCTCGAAAGTGGATAGGAATTCGGGGGTATGTCTACTCACCAAAAATGATTGTAATCGTTCCCCGCAACTGAAAATATTTTTTTAAGGACGATTTGAAAATTTTTAATTTAAGTTTTTAATAACTTTTTAACGAAGCCTCAATAAACAGCTTGATATTCTTGATTTTTGTATTATTTTGGCCTCTAGAATCTCCCATTGAGTAACCAAACTAGGTAAAAATGTAAAATCCAAAATTCCTGTGAAATATTTGAGTTTTCTTACGAACAGCAGGTGTCGAAATCGGCGCAGAGTCTGTGAAACGAAGAAAATTGGGATCACGGTCGAATGATAGCAGACAGAGTGTTGTCCAAAACTGTAATTTATTTTTCCATAGTGCCAAAATACACTAGAATACTCCGTAATCGTAGAAAATATTATCGGTACTGTTCGGATATAAGTATACAATGTTATAGACGCAATGATACGTGAATGAATGATTCGATGACATGAAATTTTATACGAATGGGAGCGTATAATCCGAAATGGGGCGCATCGTGAAATGGCAAAATCGCACGAGTCTGAGCAAATAAAATTAACGATAAGTATATTAAAAGGGGAGAAAAGCTGAACCGTACAGAAACACGTTCGAAACGAAACTAAACGTAATCGTGATCTTTTAAAAAAAAAATCGTTAAAAATATTATAAGAAATAAAATAAAAATAACGAGAACTAATGGAATTTAAACGAACGCGTTTCTTCGCGGTAAAACAATCCATTCGGCGCGGTAATCGACGCAAAGTTTACAAAATTAAACGGCAGAACAAACCACTGGGGAAAATCCATCAGGATCGAGAATAATATTGAACAAACAAAAAAATAAAAATATTAATACGAGTTGGATCAATCGTCATGCAATAATATTTACGTCCGACATTACGGCGCCTAATTGTAAAATAAAACGTAAAGCATACTCGCTACTTAAACCTCAATCGCGTCTTCAAGGTGTTCGAACAAAAACCTTACCGATACAATCAAGTTCAAACCTCTGCGAACCGACTCGTTTTCACGCGATAATAATACCAAACTCACGAACAATCGTGAGCAATAAAAAAAAAAAGAAAAAAATACTTGGATCGATGTAAACGGAAAAAGAAAAAAATATATACTGATTCGTAATACTAAGAGTGGCTCGCAGAGGGTTAATTTCGCTTGCACTTTTTAAGCATACTAATACAAACAGGCATCGTACTCTCGAGGAAATACGTTCCGATAGCTTTGTCGCAAAATGGCCCACGATTTCTTTTAAAAAGTCTGCGCGTCATCGCGCAGAAGAACCGACTTATCCATGATCGCGTACGATTTACGCGAGATCCATCGAGAAAATTCACCAGAAACCGTGGGCCCACCGTAAAAATATCTGCAAACCTAAATGTACCTTTCTTTTTCTTTTTTTCTTTTCTTAGATATTTTTCTTTTCTTTTTCCCCCGATACATAGCAAATACGTTTACATACCGCCTTACATGATAATTTTCGTTAAAAATAAAAACCGCATGCAACGTATAATCTAAGTAGCTGCTAAATAGCAACGCACGTGAATACATTTCGCGACAAATCAGAAGCTTGGGTACAAGCACGACACGATCGTTACACGATTACAGGGCGTGATTAAACGCTACGGATTAAAACACGGGCGGAACGGAGACAAAAGAATCCTCCTCGTTACTGTATATAAGTAATATTTTGATTTCTCAGGTACTTTATACACATTATCATAGGTAAATGAAGCGGGCGAGGCAAAGGCCTCGTGTTCGTCGATTCCAAGTTTTCCCATTCAAACGTTTACTCACCGTCCCAACAGGATGAGCCACGGTCGTATCGATTGTAAAACGTAAACCCGATGAACCGAGGACCTTAAAACCGTGGAACGTGACGCGCAACGTCCTATCGAAACGATCCCGATCGATACACGTTACAGGTGTTCGTCGTTCTTCCCCATAACGCGCTGCGCGACAGATCCTGCAAGGTGCATGATAATGCTCTAGCACTATGACGACGAAAACGGAGCGCTTTTTCTCAACCAACTATCGCAATCATTTTACTCCGAATCTAGAATCTCGTGCAAGCTGTTTTTTTTCTTTGTTAATTAAAATATACCAGAGACACACACAGTGATTGACAGACGTGAAAATTCTAATTCACACGTGATTCATTTTCCAACAAAAAAAGCGCTCCCTTTCGCCCTTTTTAAGTTCCCTCTTTAACGCGATCGACTCTGAAACTGAGTCGTCGTCCTGCAGATCTGAATGAAGTCCGTTCGATCCTATCGATCTGTGTGATTAAAAAAAACCATTATGCAGGCAATACAGCCGATTCTTAAGTTGTATAATCTGTCAGTTGCATGTGTGTGTGCGTGTGTCTGTGTGTGTGTGCATGTGTACGCGTAATGTATCGTCGCTGCTTGTCGCGATCAAAAACACGTAAGTACAGTGTCGAAGGGTTGACCGACCAAGGAGCCACCCTTTGCGATTCGTATCGAATCTCTCCCTCACCCACATTCATATCTTTTTTTTTTTTCAATCACCTTTTTCCTTTTTCTCTCACAAAGATATCGGTTTCGACGCCGATATCGCGAACACTTCTCGAATTCGATTTGCTCGATGTTTGTTCGAGGCGCCACGAAACACGTGCAGTGTCTCCGGGAATATAAAACGCAACTCTGCGAGACGCGTTGTGCATTCTACGAGTGGCGTGAGGCGTCCCGACGCGTGGTTCGTCGACGCTAAGCACAATAACACGCTCCTAAAACGCGTACGCTTACACAGTAAGCATCGTGCAAATGTTAAAACCCTCCAAAACTCCGGCGAAACGTTCGCCCGTTTCTACGAACGAAGTTTCGTCGACGCGTCGGGATCGACTGGCCGCTCAAGGCCGTCTCCCCACCATTAAGAACGTCACCACAGACGGCGAGAGTGGGGGGAATTTACTCTGGTGACCTTCGACGGCCAATCGAACTCGACGCGAATCGTCTTTGACGTCGCTTTGCGTTCCCCGATAAGCGAAGATCGAAATTTTCATCGAAATATTCCCATCTTATCGAGAAATACAGCGGCCATCGCGTTTCACAAAATGATTGTGTTAGTTCTAAGATTAAAATTGAACGAATATGCTTACTATCGCCTACGATTCCCCTTCCCTTACAAAATACCTCACAAAATAGACTTCTTTAATTTCGTTCGTCCACTACGAAAATTAACAAAGTTCTGTTTCTCTCTCTTTTTTTTTCCTTTTTTTACTTAGAAAAAATACTATTCGAACTATACAGTGCGAATCGCTAACCTCCTCGAACGCATTTATTTACATCTCTAATCATCGCCTCGCGTTTACTCTAGTTTCCTTCAAGTATAGAGAACACGTATTTAAAACTTTTACAAATGTTAAAAAAACGTATCGCTGTGCATTCTGTAAAAATTGTTGGATCGTTAAAAACGTGATAGAAAAAGATAAAATCGTTTTGAATTCGATGTAGATTCTCGGTTATTCTCGTCGTTGTAAATGTTTCTTTAACAACTATAATACAAAGCAATAAATCTATAATCTTTTTTCTAGATTTCTTTCTTTTTTCTTTCCTATTCCTATCTTATAGGCAGTGAAACGAAATACTATCATTATGCAAAAATAATGTTCTCTACGATATAGAAAAATAAACTTCGACACCCAAGTTCTCCTCGTTCTCCTGTCATTGATAACTGCTCGCTACCCGAATCTTTAAATCAAGCAAACATTAATTCACTTAATGAACGAATTGGAAGTCTATGAAAACTGTATAAATCGAACGCGTGCACAACCTTACTATTATCGATGATTGCTCGTTTGGGAAACCACCATCGTGGTCGTCACCGTGTCTAAAATTTACCTAGCATCGTCGATAATCGTACAAAAATCCTCAGTGTGTTTTATACAAGCCTATACACGTTACACAACACGTGGGTGTTTGCAGGTATTTGACACTTTTTATCATAAAATGTCCAAAGCTCGATCGAACAGTGAATAAACACACAACGATGTTTTTGAAAGATTTTCGTGATTTGCAAATTGTTGTTACAGCTGTCAAATATCCGCGCAGCCCCGACTAAACGACATTAAGCAACGTTGAGAAAGTGATTCAAGAAAAATACGAAATTGACAATTATTCACAACTCTGTTAGAAATATTGCATTATACCATTGGATCTTACTTCTCACAAAAACGAGTATACAAGTAAAAATTCTTCAAGCACTAACTAGAAGCAATATGTAGAAAAATCATTCCTTAGCGTTTCGTTGTTTCGTTAGGACACGATTTATCAAATTCTGACTGTTCCGCTCGAATGGCAGGAACCAGAGAACATTTTTTTTCGTTCGTATCGTTCAGCCTCGAACGTTCGTTATAAAACCACCCTCTAGAGCGAACATCGTTCGCTTCGATCGTGCAATGTACATTTTCACTTTCGTTTTCTCTTTCATTCCGAGCAGTACATTTTGCTCGCGTGATCTCCTCGTACCCATTCATCGAACTTTCGATACTTTCGTCGACTTTGGCAAACAGAATGGGATAAATTGAATGTTCGTAGTTCCCATCAAGCTCACGAGGAACAAATATTATGCACGCTCGACGCGTTAGTAAAATGTATGAAGTTGTGAAATTCGACAGGAACTTCAAACAGATTTCGCGGTAATTCGCGCGTGTGTCGTTTCAAACACCATTTTCTGGCGTTTCAACGAAACGATTCTACAAATTCGCATTCGTCGGATGGAATTCAAGTTTCCTTTTGATTTTCTCTCGCGTGCAAAATCAAAGCAAGGGCCCTCGTTCGGGGGAGGGCAACCGAAAAGAAAACTCGATCTTTTTCACGACGGAACTCCATTTCCCGTGTGAAACTTTCATTGAGCATCAAGTACTATTTTTAGTTTTTTTCGAGCTTACAGGTACGAGGCTGTAAGTACCTTGTCGAAGTATGAGACCAACTGTATTATTTAATAATAACAAGCTCGTTGCAGAATTTGATCAAATAAAGATCCATCGTACTCGACGCCACTCAACCATTGCAAACTGCAATCTTCAAAAAAAAAGAAAAAACAAACAAAATCACTGAAAACAACAAAATGATGGTATTAAAATGTCACTTGACATCGCATGCATATGTATATATAGCTTTTCGAACGGAAAAACTTTGACGTTATCTATCTGGTCCGTTTTCTCTTGGAGAGAAAATATAAATGTCTCCTCTCGACGTTAAATTACGAACAATAATACATATATGTATATAATATTTAACTTGCAACATATATAAATAAATATTTATACTATATAACAAAAAGTGCCGTCGCGTTCGCTGCTTCGAACAACCGGGATACCTCGTGAACCTCGCGGAAATAAGTTATATTATTCGTAGTCGTGCGTCTCGTTCGAAAGGATTCACGGTCAAAGATAAAAGATAAAGTTTCCTCTTTATAAATACTCTGTTAACCTTATCTCTTGACAGTCTCCTATCGTTCCTAGCGAGGAACGGGGTTTCCAAGTTAAATCGAGGCACCCGGTATCGTTTTTGTTCGAAGATCGAATTATATTCGCGCTTGGCTTCGTCTTCGTTCCCTCGTTCGCGAACACACGTGATACACAGCAGGTAATGCAAGTACGAACTATACTTACCGCTCGTCGCTTCTACGATTCTGCACTCATAAATATTATCTCGTAAAAACGTATATATATATACATTAAAAAAACAACGCATTCTTGCGTCCACTTTTTTTTTTTTTCTTTTTTGACGTAGTGCTCATTGTCCTCAGTCACTGGGGGGCTTTCTCACTTTCGATTTTTGTTTTTTTTTCTTTTTTATTAATTTTACGAACGAGCGCACGTTCGACCTTTTGGCAGGAAAAAAGGAACCCGGAAATTTCGTCGCTACTTTTGAGCATGTGCGATCGACGAATCCTCGAAAATTCTACTGGCAGTGTACCACCCGGGTTACGATCGCGCCAACGATATTATAAAAGTTTAAAGGAAAGTCACGGAAATGTAGTGTAAAAAACTAGGAACAAACGTAACGAAATAGTTTGTGCTTTGAAACGCGAAGAAACGGCTGTGAAAAATATTAATATTTTAAATGTTCTTCGGAAACGTGGCCGGAATTCTGTTAATTCCGTTGCGTAGAATTATGTGCAGAGTAAACGCCGTACGAAACCCTGAAATACAAGGACAGAGTGTTAGATATTATGAGAATAATAGAACAAAGTGAATAGAAGTGTTAGTCCTGGAGTGCTGGCATCTACTGTTGATATTACGTACAAAAATAGAAAATTTTAAATCCTAGTTTACGTAATATAATTCTGTGCAATATACCAAAATATTGACCAACGAGAGTCTCACTTATAAACGGGAGGAACTAAAATTTTTACTAGTATTTCTAACTCTAACTGAAACTATGAGATCAAACATCACCCCAAACGATGCAAAACTCTGCCCTCCCGCGGTCAGCGTCCACTCTATCGATCATTGCGCGTTAAATCGCGTATCAGCGGTTCGTAAGGCGTTCGAAGCGAGAAATCAGTACGAAAGATACAAGAAAACGTGCTTTTGTCGGCGATTGCAAGCACGTTGGCGGCGTTTCGTGGCTCGATTCGGCAATTTTGTCTTTGTTTTTTGGGAATCGTGCACTCTCCTCGTGCCCTACGAGCGTTCGGTGACTGAGGGATCGATCTGTTCGCTCCTCTCGTGTTGCGGCGCGCAGGATGCTGCCCGGCAAAGGTTTACCAAGTTCCGCGACGCGTCGCGACGCTTTCACACCGGCGGCGGTCCCCTAACGTAGCGCAGCTGAGGGGTGAGAGACAGATTGAGAGTGTTGGTGGCCTCGCAGCAATGAGGCTCGAGGAGATAGGCGGCATAGAGCAGGGCGACCAGGGCCAGCTGAAAGGACAATGCTGTCTTCAGGATACGCCAGACCCAACTGTGAGGCAAACCTGGCTCGTTGTCCGGGTCCCCGGCGTCGGTCGCGCCGCCCTTCGTCGCGATCGCCACGATCCGATCCGATCCCTCTTTCCCCATCTCCGTGGAACTGGCCTTTTTGCGCTTGCTGCACACACGAGCAAACAAAAATCCTGGTTAATAATCCAACGACTCATTTCTAACGAGAATCTCTAACTTATGCTTTCGAGAACATCGAGATCTCGACGATATCTTGTTAATCGAGAATTTCGAAAATTTTCAAGATCTCGTGCACCCAACAGCTAAGATCGTTCACGAAACCGAAATTTTATTCCGCGACAATTGCAAACCACTGTCATTGAACTTATTTGTACAGTCTTGGTAGATTTAAGGGTCCTAGATTAATTCCGAGATTAAATTAATTGCGAAACAGACTAATCACAAAACTTCTCGTTGTTCTAAAACTTGAAGGCGTGTCTCCGTAACGAAGCAAATTAATTTATGGTATCCCACGGGCGAAGGACCAGGAAACGAGTAAAACGTAAGTTTTGTGGATAATCAAGGGTTCGTTTTAGAAACTTCCTGTTCACTGTCTGTTGACATTTGTAACTATATTAATTTTAAAGAAAATCTGATCACTCGGCGTGTTTTAAATTCGAACGAATAATTGTATCGTTCGTATATTTGTTTCAAGTACAATTCTCTTCTTTAAATCCTAGAATAGTTACTATCTATTTCGTAAGTAAGTTTAAGTTAGTGCTCGAATTATAGATGGTTCATTCGATTATGATGGATGTTCATTTTGAACGAAGCCTAGAGACGTTTCTAGGAGTGAAACGGAAGAGAAGAGAAATACACGGGGACCGTGGGACGCGAAGAAAAAGGGTCGACGAGTTTTTACAGCTTCTTTTATGACGCAATATGGCTGGCGGCGGTTCTATGCCCGCGAAAACTAAACCTATTACCGTGGACGACGAGCAGTGATTAAACGCGACTATAAAAAACATCCTTCAAACAAAGTTAAATAAGGTGGGCCCCGGTGATAATGGGAATTCGGGAGCAATTGCGATTGAAAGAGCAGGTCACGAAACGAATCCGCTAGGGGAAGAAAGTAAAACAGGGAACGCACGTTTTAAGACCGCATTCTGGCTTCTGATCTCAATTTTCTGCTCCTGTAAATATTAATACGACAGACCGCGAGCGAATCTGGTGGCTTGAATTTAAGTATCGCGAACGGAAACGTAAATTTGTTAGCTCGGGGAAGGATTAATTTCTGCAAAAGCTGCAGCACGGAGATCTTAACGTGGTTATTTTCAGTGGATAGACACGACAGCGTCAAGGGGCGTTCATTCACAGGCAAACTTCTTATATTCAAATGAGTGGACGCGTTATGGGAGCAGAACTATGAACGAACGAGCTCTTGTCCCCGCGTCTAAATAGACGCCTTCATTCTTTGCTTCTCATTTCGACGTTATGCAAATGGAATGCGAGCCGAGAAGGTCGTTCTTTATTCCCTCTCAAGTCGTGGCGTCTTCAGACGCCTGAATAAATTAAAAACTGCGCTTCCGTGCGTTTACCCCGAAAGTATTTCTTGCGTGCGTTGCACGATTTGCAATGATTTTATTGGAAACGATGGAAAAATACAACATATTTTATGAGTTGTAACGTCTCCGCAAGAAAAGCCACGAATTCGTGTTTCTATTGCTACTTTTTAAGAGGTTGGAAAATACTCACTCGGCGAAATGGTGGACCTGGCTGCTCGTACGTTTGGCAGCCCTCGCCTCGACGCTGGCGGCGGTGCGCACAATTAACTCTCGACACTGTTTCTGCAGATCGCGTAGCTCCGTTTCGGCGTCGTCGACTCTCTTCCAAAGCTCCGTGAGGGCCTCGCTTCCTGGGGCCAATTGGCTCTCCAAAGTACGCGTCAGCCGTCGAAGGGCGGCCAGTCGTCGCTCCCGTGCGCTCAGCTCCTGCTCGCTTCCGCTGTCGGAGATCCCGCTGTCGGACAACGAACCACCTTCCTGCGTCAGACTGGTCGCCGAGGCGTCCACGAACTTCGTCGTCGCGACGCCGCTCACCTCCTCCGTGGTCGCGTCTTTCAACACCGTCCCGTTCTGAAACAAGACCATCGAGTCGCGTGACTTTGACTGCTCCCGATGCTGGGAGATACCTTTTTTGCTCTTCCCTTTTGGATACTTTCCGAAAGGTTATTCTACAACGTGTGTCCATCGGATTTATCTACTTAAGTTTTAATCGAATCGAAACACGTATCGATCGAGGAACCAATCGAATAGATTCGCACGAAAAACAAAAGGAGAGTTCGGTTTAGAGCGTCTAAGATCTCGCGATCGATTACGTAGGAAATGAAAGGATGTACTTAAGCCGCGTTCCTGATTAGATCACGGGATGCTGATAGGTATAAATACACCCCGAGAGAATACGATATCGAATATTGCGTAATCCAGTGTTGGTTACTGCCGCCGGGCAACAGGAAGGCATATAAGACGATTATAGGGAGGAAGAAGGGGTGGGATGGGGGAGAGTGAAAGAAAGGAGCATGATCCAGAAGGGTTCAGTGTCAAACAACAGACTCGTGCCATTTTATATCAGCCTATTTAAATATTTTACATATTTTTTATAAGATCAATGTTAAGTTATGCTTGTTTATCTCTTATTCGTCGTTAGAAATTTTCTCTGGGTGGAACGAAAGTTTATTAGGGTCGAAATATATCATTTCTTTCCGCCGTAGAAACGATAAATCTTGGGAAGGATACAGGTCACGCTCCTTCTTTCAACGATTACTTTTAACCCTAGGACTGATAGGGCGAAGAAGCGACTCGCGTTCCCGGAAGTACATAAATCGTTCGCGTTGCTTCGAAACGTAAAATAACCGTGTTCGGAAAATTAAAATATTTATCTTGCTTCCGGCGTCCTCGACGAAAAGAATATTGTCATATTTATTCGCAATTAACTTTTAGCTGAATTCAACAAGAAAATTGCATGGTATATTTACTTTCTGTATCAATTTTCTCGATAATGGAGAACGAAAAAATTTGGTATAAAACAATTTTCAAAGAGAATCAGCCCATTTTTAATTCTGTGACTTCCACAAAGCACAGTCGTCTACGACGTGTTCCCGAAAACAATCCCCGATGGCCAGCGTCACGTAACAGTTTCGGGGCTCGATATGAACTTTTGCCCCCTCTCTGTTAACAAAAGAAAGAAACCGTGGAAACGACGGGAAAAGGGACACGAGGCCGCGACACGAAACGCTGATACCAGACAGCAGTGGTAATAGTAAAAAAGTGGTAGCAGGGTGCGGAGTATTGCGAGAAGAGGACGAAGCGACGAGGCGAGGGGTGGGTTAGGGGGAGGGGCGGAGGGTAGAAGGCGAACGAGAAACGGGGGCGAGGAAGAAGGAGAGGGTTGGTTTAGGCTGTTGCAACGGCGGAAACGGAGGGGGATGGAGAGCCTCCGGTAATGAAAAGCGCGATCCGCATACCAAGTAGCAACCTTCAACCTAACCTATATATATAAGTCGGTATACTCTTGTATAACGGATAGTAGGTACGAAGTGAGTCGAGTCAGAATCCACATTGCCCGAAGGACCAATCACGTAGAAGAAAACTGCGAGAATTCCTTATTTCCGGCCTCGGTGCCCTGTAACGCGAGATCCGCGGTAACCTTGAGAACGCGATAGCAATCGTAAGACCACGCGGGGGGATGATTTCGTTTCAAGTTTTATGGAACTCTGTAATGATCTCGACGAGCAAAGGGGGTAGCATCGATTCGCGAAAAATAGATGCGCGATCTGTATGTCAGCGGTGTGACAGTCTATCCGACTACGAATTATTTCTATCCTATCTTATACTTAGACAAGTCTAATTCGATCGCGACGTATAATTAGGACTTGGCGACGGGAATGAAACTAATGCAATAGCCTAAAGGGCAAGCAGACGGAGAACGCGCGAACTGTAGTACGATAACAGGTCGAGAATGAAATTATAATTAATTTTTTTATAACAGAAGACCTTGATTGAACTTTTCGTCACTCTCCACATATATTTTCTATCATTTCAAGACATAAATAGTACAACTATCTCTCTCTCAGAAAAATAATGACACTTACTGTTCACTTCAGGCAAATCGGTCGAAATTAATCAGAGCTCGATGGTACCGGAAACCACGCAAAACACTGGCGATTCGAGATTTCTGGAGCGATTCCTGCCCCGTAGAAACAGAGGTGTCGCGGGCGAGCGATAACGAGCGAATGGTCCCGGACAACGTACGAGCAAACACGACGGCGGACACGTCCGACTTTTTACGCGACTACCGGAAGCGCTAATCAACGGGGGCGACCGCAAGGCCGTGTCCCTTAAGCTTCTGGTCCACGTAGAAAGTTCGGCTCGTCGACAACGGTGTATCCCGGAGGCCAGGACTGGGATCGCTCCACGGACGGTGATATTAAATTTGTATTTTTACGCTGATTCCACGGGCCATTCCCGTACGTGAGCCGAAAGGGAATCGTTCGGGCGATTAACGATCCGTGCTCCCCAGGGAGTTGCTGGCCTCCGTGGTAGCCAACCCCTCCCCCCGCCCCCCGCGACGGGCGACTTTGACCCGTACGCGATCCTAAAACTCGTCTCACGCCCTCCTCGGTGCCTCCACAGCCCGGGCTGCTAATATTTTATTTAACGCCTATCAAAATTTATGGATTTCTCGCGGGCCACGATCGCGGCTCGGAATTTAATGTTCGCCGGCGAAGAGGTTACTCTCGATCGCGTTCGCGGAACAATGCTGTCGATTAAATATGCAGACTGGACGTCGTTTGCCGCGAAACGAATGGCCGTTTCGTGCCGGTATTGCTCGTTCGTTTAAAACGACCTGCGAGGACGCGTCGAACCTTTCTACATTTCCACCTAGTTATTAAAAATAAATGGGTCTAAATGCTCGTGAAATCGGATATTCGATCAGCAATTTTATCCAACGATTCCGGAACTATGTGTCGGCGTATGGGGTTCTTAACATGAACACGTGTGATTTGTAATTTGAACATTTTTATTCCTCCATTTGGAGCCAGTGAAACGTGAAAGACTATGCTTTGGCCATTCGAAGATCACAGTTTATTGACTCTAGAAAATATGGTATTTACCACGTTAAGTTATTTAACAATTTAATGACGACCCACCGACCGACTCAAGGAATCTCCGGAACAACTAAAAAATATAATAATCCGAAAGTTAGGAGCCTTTAACCCCCCCCTTTCGTACGTCTAACCAAACACGAAATGTCGACGGTGACTATTACCGTTCCATATCTCCGCGAGCCACCCTCTCCCCCGGCTGGTTTTATCGCTCCCAATCGGAATTCCTCCTCCCATTATCTATTTCTCTCGGTTTCGAGTCACGAAGGAGAGCACGGAGAAAAAGGGAAGGCGGAAAGGTCGTAATGTCGAGCACTTTGTCGAAACGAAGAGGAGCCAGTTCCTTCGTTCGTTGCTCGGTTAAAGGGTCGCGGCGGTATCGCGGGAGAGGAGAAAGAAAGATGTAATGCCCGAGTGCATGAAATTATCCCCCCGAGTGTTGTAGATCGACGAAACCGAGAGCACCGCGGGATTGTTCCGTCTTGACGGGACTTTGAATACGGTTCGAGCCGAGTCGCGAAAGAAACGCGCGAGGAAACGCCCGGGCTGGGCCGTGGAAACGGACGGAGGGGTTGGTTCGCTGCTCCAGGCCGCCGCTCTTACCTTTTGTTAGGGTAAAAATATCGCGTCGCGAGCCATACGTCTTCCCGACAGGCGAAATAAGCGCGGCTACAATTGGAAGTTGCGACGACGACGACTGTTTGCCCCGCGACAACGTTCTCCTCTTACTCTCGCGAACGGTTACCAAGCTGCGTCGCGATCATCCGCTCGTTACACGCCAACTTAATCTTACGCGACTACCGAATTAATCCCTCGAGCGAACCGGGGCATTTTTCCCAGTCGTTCTCGCCGTTACTACCCCCCTTTCGACGACGATTATCCCACGCATGGACATTTTTAATTTAGTGAAAATTGGGTTCGGCTGAGTTGTGTTTCATTTTTATCTGGAGATACTAGTCGTTGATTTTAAAACGATACTTCCGTCGATAATCTGCAATGTATTCTCGTTCTAATAAAACGAAATGAAATCGATTCAAAGTCTAAAATTGACACTTTCGGTGAGTTTGAAATAAAAAAACAGAACGTTGGCGCGTAATCGGTGGGTTATTCTAATCGCGTGGGAGGAAAAACGAGGAACGTCGACGTGGAAATATCGCGTCACGGGCGGGACACGTTTCCCTGACAAGCGGAACACGGGGCCAGGCCAATCGGAAGTCCCGATAACAAACCTGCCACCTGCTTCACCTCGAGCTACTTTTCTCCTTAAGTCCATAAAGAGGCGAGCCGACGCAAAGCGACCTTGCCAGGAGATTTACTTTATATGCAAATGCAAGACGGATATGCTGGAAATAGGGGGATGCGATGGCGTTTAACCGAAACACGATATCGACAAGTGTCATCTGTCAAACGTACCCTCTAATCTGACCCCTTCTTTCCCCTTCTGGCAGCTCCTTCCGGCGAGCTGTAGCGACACATTACTCGCGTACGACTTTATACATTTTACTTGCCATTATAATCGACCAAAGACTCTAAACAATTCAACCCTTTGCACTCGACCGACCCCTTTCAGGAAACATCGTGAATCTTGCAAACTCTATTCACAGAGACTCCTTCGTAACATCTGTTAAATATGAATTTTTAATTTAGTCTATCTTAGTCTAATTTAACAGACTTTATAAAGTAACGATATAATACAGTGACTCACGAGTTACTATTAGAAATTATTATGCAAAAGAAACATGGATGTCTTTTTTTTTAAATTACACCTCTAGAAAATCAATTTCCTATTCATATATTTTGTTTTCTAGTAAAAGATAACTCTTTCCCTATATTTTATCATTTTTTCACATAAAATTCTGACAAAATAACGATCGAAGTCGCCTTTGGGGCCCAAGAATTGGCAAACTAACACGCATTTAATTAACGACTGATAAATAAGGGTGCAATATTGTATGTACGTTTGCCAAAATGTGAAATCGTTATGCGAGTCAGAAAACGTTCTTCGTTCGATCCCTCTGGGAGGAATCCCTTCCCGTCAAGATGGTTCTTCGAACAAAACCGGAGCTCAGAAAAAAAAGTTTCTTTCTCAAAGCAGAAGACGAACCAATAAACATGATTCGCCTTATAATCTCGCCTTCCTTAGAACAGCTATATCCCCGGGAGTCCTTCCACTCGCCCAATCTAAGCGGGGAAATGGTTTTATGCACACAAGCGATACCCTCGGGAACCGTTATCCCATCCAAGGACGTTGAATAATTGCTGCCAGCTATCTAACCGATTGAAAATCAAGGATGCCGTGGGAATATCGGTTAAACAATTTAGCTGGTCGAAAGTGACACGATTAGTGTTGCAATCTTCGTTATACGATCAGTGTTAAAACGTTCTATCGGAGAAAATATGTACATTTAATGCAACAGGAAAATAACAACTGAAATTGTGAATATACAGGGCAGGCACGAATCAGTCCCCCAAAAAATGTTTTCTATCGAAGTTGATCGGTATTTAACCGACAAGAAATTGCAGCAAACAAACCGACTTTAAAAAATTAAGATCACTGTAAGAAGTAGATAATATCAATGTTTACGAAATTATCCGGTTATCGGTTGTTTAACGACTTCGTTGAAATATTTGATCGAATCTGGCACGGGGAAACGCAGAAACGATCGTTCCTTTGGCACATCTAACTACCAAATGGCTTTCGTGCGCGAGGAAGGTCCGAAGCAATCTCGTTCGTGGCTCGTGAAACGAGAGAGGAGAGGAGCGAGAGTTCCATGGACGGAGTAATAGGTATTATAGCAGCGAAATAAAGGAGAAAAGGCGCGATCGAAGCATGAAAGGGATGAAAAGGACCGACCGTGGAGTCGAGGATACCCATTATCCGCGCTGGGACGTGGATCTCGATGCAAAACACTTTGCAGACACGCGTTTAGCGACCCTTGATTCTCTCTAGCCGTTTCTATGCACCTAATCGCGCCATATAACAGTTGACAATTCACAGTGAACTGTACATCAGTTTATTACCGAATTACTATCAAGCGTGCATCGTTGATATACTCAAATATTTACGTGCAGGATAATAAAACGAATTGTAACGAAATTGTTGGATCGTGTTTTGCTGTCAGAAATGTCCACGTTTATTTTGTAGGAGGAAAATGGTCTTACCTGACAACTGATGTCTTGTTTCTCGGACAGTAGCCTGGCGACGTGACGAACGGACGAAGCTACTTCCGACGTAGCTCCTGCTTGAAGGGCTACGTCCAAAACTGCGAGAGTGTCCTTGTCCCTTCGTAAGGCACACTGTAGCTCCGTCAAACGAATACTGAACTGCTGGACGGCTTGCAGGGCGCACAATTGTTGGCTGCCCCTGAAAAATAAACGTCTATGGATCAGTATCATGTCCTACGAAACTTAGAAAAATGTTCAATTCTCTGGGCAAATATCTTATTTCCATTTTTCTATATAATTTAGAGTCAGAGAAATACTTGTCAGGTTATTTTATACGATATTAATTTTTAAGATTTTCAGAATTTCTGTGACTAATGGATATTCAGCAATTTATGACATTTATCGTTAAGGTGGAAGGCTTAGAAATTTCATTTTTTCTCGAATCCTAATATGGCGAACCACTGGAAATGAAACGCACGAAAGTTTGGCGATTCGATCGATCCAGGACGCTCGATAAACATCCGTTCTTCCCGATTCCGGGAATCAATGGACCAAATTGAATGGAAAAATCGCAGCAGGGTCAACGTAATAAAAAGTGGAAACGAAGGCAAAGCCTGTAGGCAAACAGCCAGGCGTCGAATTATTAGTGGATCTCCCCGATGGCGCTATCGGCAAATAAAAACAGTTTATCCGGGCTCGTTTCAAACGTCCCCGAGGCTCGCACGCGGACTGATCATTGGCGTCCCACCGAAAAATCACTTCCATTCTATGACAAGAAAATAAGCTAACCAAATAACACCAAATCATTGTACAAATAATCTGTTTCGATAGACTTTCCGATCGAATATCTTTTTGAACAGAAATGAGAGTCCAGAATATCCAATCAAAGATGGATATCCGCGATACGTTCCTACGCGAGATGAAGTGTCGGGTGTCATCGGACGATTTGTACGTTATACGGAACAATCGCGTGCGCTCGTGCAAAGAATAGAAATATCTGGGTAACGCTGGAGAAGTTGGCCCGACCTTTGCACAACCCCACTGGGTCAATGGTAAACCCCTTTTGCATGGGTCAAACCCCTATCAGACAAGGGGAATCAAGTGCTCATACGGCAATTAAAATGCGACCGTAACCGCACGCGACGTGCTTTTTGCTCGAAGCACGTATCAATTTCAGGCTCCGCGATTTCCTCGACCCTTGCACAATCTTTTCTATAAATCGTATAAAAGTAAAAAAAAACTACTGTCACTGCAGATCGTTCAACAAGTGTGCCTATCAATCTCTTATTGCATTAGTTATTCGATGGGCTTTTTAAATTTTAAACATTGTAATTATTTGCATTATCAATTCTATGAGAAAACAATTTTGAACAAATTGAGTTAAACTTAGTCTCGGTTGCGGAATAATATAATCCATTTATTTTTCCTACGAGTGATTTGTCGATTGAAAAATGAGGGTATCATCGATGTAAATAAATGAACATTCACCGTAATGGGTGGGCGTAAAATCGTCCAATGGACGTTTCTTTGGCGCGACGGACACTTTCGAAATATCCGAGATTAAACTTGCGATCCCAGCTAAAACTAGTAATCCCGTGACACGGGTCCAAATCCTGAAGATCCGAGCCCTCGCTGCCGGTACCTATGGTGTCCACGGGTTCCCGATGTTTGCTTTGGAGGCTTCATTGCCTCTCATAATATTTGCCGAACGTCACACGCCGGCCAGCCAACGGTCAGTCAATGATCCTAAACCAGCTATTCCACGCGGCCCGAAACTCGATAACCCTCCACGAGAAAAGGAAACTCTCTCGACGTGGAGGACGAAGAATTGCCAACGTCATTAATCCCTAATCGCACACGCTTCGCTCGTTGGTCATTCCGAAACCGTTACGTTTCTATTAGGTCACCGAGGGAAACGAGATATATCGATTCGGGGAACGCCAGATATTTCTAACGCGTTCACTTAACCGCCAGGACAAAATTAAAACTTCCTTGAACATATAGTATCAAAGTAAATTGCAAAATAAACATGGAAGATAGCATAAATAATAATGAATTATATGTTCGTCGGATAGGGGATGAAAAGCCCTTTAAAATGAGCGTTTGTACGACTAGATAGCGTAATTAGTTCCGGAGATATAGCGTTTTGAATTTCGCGTCGATGCGGTGGCTAGTTTCGGAGATAGGGTTTGTTTACGTTTTGTTGTGCGCGCGCGAATTCATTGATCTCGCTCGCGTGACAATAGTAAACAGTGCGTAGTAAATTCTTGGAAATACTACGCGAAACTAGGTCACGCGAGTCACGACTTACGTGCGACAAAGAGGTCCAGCGCGACGCGTCAGACGGAGACAGAGATAGTCAAATTAAGAAAAATACCCCTTTACATAAATTACGATATCTCGAAAACGGAAAGTCCGATCGACAAAAACCAAAAGCCATTTTAAAGGGGAAGGTTCACCGCTTCTAACGACCGGTCATTTATTAATAAAACACTAGTAGTTTAGGAACTGCAAGCGTCTAAATTTTTTCATATTTTTAATACGCGTTAATAGGCTTTCGTCAGGCGTAGCGGAATTTTAAAAATTACGATTGTCTTTACACGATGATATCTCGAAAACGGAAAGTCGGATCGACAAAAACAAAAACCCATATTAAAGGGGAAGCCTTGCCGCTTCTAACAGTGGATCAATTTTGGATGAAACTCTAGTATCTTCGGAACTGCACGCGTCTAAAGTTTTTAATATATTTAATAGACTTTTTATTGAGAAACTACAATCGGTATATAAATTATTCGAATAATTTCATTACTAGCAATTCTATTAAATGTTTCTGACTCTGCTGGTACTGCCACTGATGTTAATTAACCTAATTAACATCGAATAAATGAATACTCACTTTTGGAAAGTCTCGTCCCAGACGCGGTACAAGTCCGTGACGCCGTCTTTCAGTTCCGTGAAGTTCAACGACGCGGAGTTACCGAGATCGGTGATCAGTCTGTGCGTGGAGACGTTCAGTGCCAGCATCGCCGCCTTGCGATCCCTCAACGCAGCCAGTTCGGCCTAGAACATTAAATATACATCTTTAGTGGTTGCCGTCTTCGGCTAACTCAAACAAATTGCTTCGTTCGTGCCGCAACGCCGGTGGAACCCGGTTTGGGGTGCGCCCAGTGATGTATAAACTGGTCACAGTGGTAGACCAAAGAAACCGAACTATGCGTCTTGCAACCGGGAATAAAAACATTTTATCTTTCGAACGATCCATCCGCTTTACGAACGTACGCAATAAAACGATAATTACATGACCGTTCGTGCCAGGGAGAAATTGATTACGTTCGTCAGCGTTTGAAGGACTGAAGAGACGTTTCTCTTTCTTATCGAGATTTTTGCTGAGCAAGTTTCCCAATTTCTTTGCACGATTCATCGTTCGTGGATCAATTTAAAAAAAAAGAAATTGCTTATTTTAATTTTCAGCTTTGTTTCAATCGACCATTTCGAAACTCGATCCGTGCCCCAAACTGACGTATGGCAAAAAGATTGAAGATACTTTTATGAAAATTTTAGGGGCTAAATGTCCCCATCAGTTTGAACGAAAAGAAAGAGCTAACGACTGTTGTCAAATCGAGAGTTCCTCCAGCATCCACGTTCGGGGCAAACTCGAGTTCCGGTCGTGCGACCTACCGCGACATCGAGCATGTAAAGCGAGACAATCCGCAACCGAAACAAGCGTGCGTTTATCAGAAAAAGCATAACCGAACTATAAGGGTTGTAAGAGCGCGAGTCAGACGATGGAGTAACCACGTCACGTTGTCACGTCCCCGTCGTCCTACTACAGGAGGCAGCCGACGAGGGCCGCATAAATAAACCCGGGTTTACGACGACGACGCAGGGCGTAAGAGAACGAAAACGAGAGCCCCCCTTTTGCTACCGTTCGTCTCTTTCTATTCCCCGTGGTTCGTACGCCCCCGCGTCGTTTCTCTCGCTCGTCGCGTGACGAGAAGAAGAGTTCGGAGCCGGAGCTCGTAAAGCTCGTCCTTGCGGTCATCGCGTCTCCCGACGTCGTCCGTGTGCTTCCACGAGTAATTCCTACCGACGAAACGACGGAATTTACTACTGTTTCCTTCTTGCATTTATATTGTACACGGATCTCCTTCGAGTTCACCGTCGACCATCGCGCGAATTGAAAGTTTCGGAAATCGAACATCGACTCGGTTTTCCAATATTCGTCTCGGTGTTACGACGGATAGACATGTACCTCGAGAAGAGTTACTGGTTAAATAGTCGAGCGAGATGTAAGTCGGACGGAGTCGTGACCGAGCGCGTCCGACTATGTTCGGTTTGTACTACTTATCTTTCGATGCTGGTTTGAACAGTGAATTCTGTATCTAATTAAAGGAGAAACGGAATTTTGATGCAACTATATGCAATCATAAGTATTTCAAGGCAATTTTCAGAAAATACAGCCCTCACAAAACCTAGAATATCCAAGGTGCGAAAAGAGGCTAGCCTAACGACTGAAGCTCCGATCCCGGTGTACCAGAGTGGGTTCTCGCCCGGGCAGCCTCCGTTCGCGCGTCACTCGCGAACCCCCGAATCGATATTCTTCACGGTAGCCAATAATTTATGGAAATCCGAGCACGAGTAAACGACGGATACAGGCGTGATTCCGTGGCACGGTATCAAAGAGGTCAGACGCGTGAAAAGCGTCGACGGGGGAACGCACGCGGCCACGATGCGTGTACAGGCGAACAGAGAAAAGAGCCCTCCTCGCGCGGAGAAAGAACGACGCCGGTTTGCGCCGTTGTCCGACAGCGGTCGCAACGAAAAGTGGTTGGCATTGATATTCCAGGCACATTGCGAAGGCAGAAGCAGCCGCTCCGTGCCCGTTCCCCTCTTCCAACCACCCACCACATCGCCTCCTTCCCTTTGGGACCCCCCCAATGCCTCCTCCGCTCTAGAGCAAACCCTCTTTCTCTCTCTCGTTCTCTCCCTTCGACATCAGGCTGTCCCTCTTTCCCTGTTCCGCCCCCTCGCGACGGCAGACACGCACATTCCGATCTAATTCAATTTCCAATCAACAGCCAATCAATTGATTCGAATTCGGTATACAGAGCGAACCGTTCGGCCGCTGCATGACTACGAGGGTACCAGAATTCGACATGGCCGACGCTGGATGCCTCCACTAGCCCAAAATGCACCCAAAAGATCCACTTCTCTGTAGAGAAGTTTCTACAGATTTTATTCGAAATAAATTCCATCGAGTTTCGCGTATGCGGAGGACATAAAAAAATGAATTACGATGATAAATCTAAATGGGAGTTCTATATAATTGACCTCCCTCGATAACGTTCGCGTCGCAGCCCTCCTGTATCGAATCGTTTTTCGTGACGAGTAAAAAAAGTTATGCAAAAATGTCTCTGAAATCTTGGATCCTCGTCTCGCGCGATGCCTCTTTCGAACTGGGGGGAGGGGGAGGAATTAGTTTTTTGCTCGCGGTGATTCCGAAGTTGCGTGCGCGCGGATCCCGCCGCTAGTATTTTAATTGCTCGACCGTATCGCGAGCGCGGGCTTTTTAAAGGCCGCCGCGGGAGGCAAGAAAAACGGCGTAATGTCCGAACGATCGCACCGAATAAAGGCACGCGCGGCCACTCGAAATAGCTGGCCACCGGTGTACCGGATCGGCTAACGAGCTTCCGAGTCCGAAAGCCTTTCGCGATTAACCTCGCCGCGTGTTACAAGGTCCCTGCGCTTCGTCACGACAACCGGACGTCGTCGAATCTGTATACGTGGATCGTTTACGATCTTAACACATCGACGACCGATCGCGGAGATCCCTACCTTTTGTGCCAATGCCGCGCTCAACACAAACGTCTTTGCGTCGACTCGACACACACACTCCAAGTCGGTTTATTTCTTATTTACTCGGTAAACCAATATTTAATAATTTTGATAACCCAGAAATTCTGATATACTCTCGCAATAGACCTACCCAATATTTAATAATTTAATTTTCTTTCGAAGGAGATGATCCAGAATATTATCCTAGTATCAAATTTTTAAATTTAACTCTCCATAATAGCAGTGGTAACGTGATTCTACGTCCACGCAGAAAAATAGCACCTTTGGACGCCCAGAGGCCTAGAATGCGATCCTAGAAGATCGACGCGTAAAAAATTCGAAAATCGCGTCGAATGCCAATGTCGCTGCAAGCTCCTAGACGAAAATAGTTTTCTCACGGTTCTGGACTGGTCAGGCTCGATCCCGTAGTCGAATCACGCGGCGTTTAAGTGCGAACGATCGCTAATGAGCGGAATATCAAAACGCGAGTCACCAGGCGCGTTTCGTCTGGAATTACGCAATAACGTAATCGGCGGCGGGCGACGCGACGCGCCCCGTCGAGTCGCGACATGCGCCAGCCGTCGCACGGCAGTCCGCAACGGTGTGCAACTGGGCTCGATTGAAGCCTGTTTACGAATGCATAATACACGCGGGGCATTCCATTCTGATTCGCGCGCCGCGCTCTGCACTCGCTCATTCCGTCGCGCTTTTCGTACCGCGTCGTGCATCCCAAATACCGCGACGTCGACGCCTCCAAACACGCCGGACACGGATCGTTCGACGAAATTTTGCTCCCGCAATTTTCCCTCTGATTCACCCTAATCTTGACAAACATCGTTTCTTTTACGATCGAGAGCAAATGGCGATGACAGAGTATCCCTACGATTCTTTTTTAAATTTATTATAGTCCATCTTTGGTCTCTTCATGTGGTCCTCGATCAATTCAGGGGTCTAAAATAATTATAAATATTATTTACAAGGGATGAACCAGTGCCAATAAGCGACCTCGACCACTTTATTTGCCTCATCTTACTCGTTTAAGGAACATTGCTACAATATAGGGGGAAAGCTCGTAAAGTTCTTGGTCTTATCATCCACGACTCGCTTAATTCCAGAAACACATCCACTATCAAACAATTATTATGCAACGGCCTAGTTTGCAACCTAGATTACTCTTCAATTATCCGGTGTCCTCGCTTTGCTAGCATCTTCACTACAATTCAACGTGTCGAGCATAAATTCCATAGCCTTATCTCGTACAAACTGGGTGCTCTAACCGGTCTGTAATAGTTACGACTACAATCCTTTACTCCAGCAGTTATTACACGCTAAATTATTTATAAGTGAATATGCACGAGACAAAATTTATCTTGCACAGGAGGCATTTTAAAATTTTTATATTCTGTAAACAAAATCCCCGCGTACCAAAGAACCAAATTTCAATTTCCTGAATTACCATTTTAATCCCGCGCCAGACACCTGCGTTTTGCCAAAAAAAAAAAACACTCTTAATCCTTCCATTCGCGTGCTTGATTCGTAAAACGAGTCCATAACACCCTCTCTCCGGTGTTCGACGCAACAACCGAAACTTAATAATCCCCTACACGCGTGCTACATCAACGAAACATCAACCCTTGCTTTTTAAATCTCCCTCGAGTCTTCAACATCGTCTCAACTTAAGGTCAATTTACCTCGAACGTTACCAACCCAACATTCGATGTAAACACGTTTTAATCGAAAGCAGAAAAATTCAGTATTAATGAACACTAGCAGGACTTGCATTCAAGAAAAAAATTTATTTTTCATCCAACCATAAGACCTACAGGAAAATTACTCGTACCACCTAACATCCCCTGTATCTAACTTTTGTAAAGATATTTTTGTTAATAATTTCAATGCCTTGCATTTTAAAATAAATTGATGAAAAATTGATCAATTTTCCATTTCTCAAATTCGATTTTAACCGCCTACGCCAATGTGTTAATCGCGAAACCTCGGCGTAACTTTGACGAGACATCAATCCTAGCTCCCTAACCCTACCAGCCAGACGCCTCGACCGCTGACGAACTTTCTCAAGTCTCCATCCTGACCCCTGGAAAGTTCACCCTTGGTTCCGGAACTATCCAATGGCGGTCCCTTAACCGAGTCTTCGTTTCGAGCGCATTCTGACGCGTACGAGCCCCAAAAATCCGGCCTCGCGTACGTTTCTCGACCCGGTGAGAGCGTTTCCTCGCGCGAGGTAGCGGTCCGAGGCACGCGAAAACATGTAAAACAAGAAAGGCGGTGCTCCTCCGGCGCGTATCGGGATGGGTTTCGGTGGCTAGACGGGCTCGCGCGCGCCTCCTGCATAATGCAGCACAGCGACGAGTTCACCCGGCAAATGTTGGACGCTAATACATCTTGATGATAGATAGGGAGCATGTGTTTGGTCTTCGCAATGAGGCCGAGAGGGATGTCGGGGATACTGCAAAGGACGAGGCAGGGGAGAAGAAAAGCACGGAGAAAGATGGGAGAGCGATAGGGAGCGATCGAGAAGGAGGAAAAGAAGAGCGCGGTGGAAAAAGACGACCAACGGATGCCGGAAGAGGGTGGGTGGGGGGATGTACCGACGGGAGAAGACGGTCCAAAGGCGAAAATGAGAAGGAGAGCGTCCGTGGACGAAGAGAATCGGAGAAAATGACTGATAGACGAAGAGGCGAGTAGGAAGCGGCCGGGGAGGGAAGGAGAACGCGGAGGAAGAGAAACAGGAAGGAGACCGAGGGTGTTCCAGAGGTTTCCAGGGAGAGGGTTGAGAGAGGGTCGGCAGGGGATGACTCTCGGGGGGTGGAAACTCGGAGGGGTTGGCTAGGTTGGCTAGGTTCGCCGGCGTTCGGTCGCGAGTTGCGATGCCAGGCACGTCGCCGTCAGACGAGCGTACGTGCGACACGACTACGCTTTTACGCCACTCTCTGCCTCTATCCTTGCCTCCTCACTGCCCTCTCGCTCTCTTTATACTCCTCTTCCTCCGCGTCTTTCGCCACCGCCGCCCCCGCCTCCGCCACTTTCTTGGGCTCGATCTTCCCGCGACTTTCCAACTTTTACGTTGCCTCCGCTTGCGACTAGGGGATACTTCTCGACCGACCTGGCTGGGTCGACTATGACCCGCACTATTCCATGTCAGGAACTATCGCTTTCGAATGCATGCACAAGTGGAAAACTTCACGCACGATGTCTCGTAAATAAAGAACTGTCTAACACGGAAGACACAATTTTTGATTATTTCCACAAATGTAGGAACCCTGTGCAAACTCGAATTTCTCTATCAATACCACGTTCTGGTAGGTCAAGTACTGTGAACCATGATCAAACAAAGACTCTGAAATGTTTAAAATATCTAAATCGAGCGTTGTAAATCGTTTGTATAAATTAGACTATATGTCCTGCCCCATAAGACTATAACAGTCGAATTTTTATATACACGATAGTTTCACTATTTGTTGAAACAGAATTATTCTTCAGTTTTCTATGAATTTATTCCACCAGAATGAAAATTAAAAGCAATAGTTGAACGATTTAATTGTTTATTTGCATCGCTCATGGTCCCAAGCAATAGCACAACATCGTCGCCATCTACAGTGAAGGGGATCAGGAAAGCGATGCGCGGCGGCGATCGATGTAGTTACACTTCGTATCGTCGAGGGATTCACTGTCTACAGTATCGACTGAGAACACGTTACCGACGCGATCGAGACTGCAACAGCACAGACGAGATAAAAGAGTAGATCTTACATACAATATATTTTTTCTATCCATTTTTCTGGGGCTCTTTGGGTATATCTATTCACCAAAAACGATTGTAATTGACACCTGCACCCAAAAATAATTTTTCCAGAATGATTTGAAATTTTTTAATCTCACTGAAAAATTTCATACCTATTCGAATTTTTTTCTCGAATGTGGGTAAGATTTCGTGGGTATGCCTATTCACCAAAAATGTTTGTAATTGACCCCTGCAACCAAAAATAATTTTTTTAGAACGATTTGAAATTTTCTTTTTTCGCCGAAAAATTTAGGCACCTACCCTCTGTCGATTTTCCTTAAATTTCGTTTTTGATTTCTAATATTTTTGTTTGACGCCCTACAGAAAAGTTGTCTAATACTTTTTTGTAGGTACCCATGGGCTCTACTTCAGAAAAAAGTTTCATTGAAAAATATTCACTATTGTAGGAGTTATGGATGTTTGAAGATTGGCCCACTTTTATGGGGTTTTTTCTTATTTTGCGGCATCAAGGAACATCTTTTCGAATATTTTTGCAACTTCTACATATTCTCCATTAAAATACGCGTAGTTTGCATTTTTAAACATTAAAATCGTCCAATCCGTTCAGGAGTTATGACATTTTAAAGATTCGCATGAAATTTCAGGGGAAGAAATCAATGGTATGGTCAGACATTGTATTTTCGGAAAACAATTTTTTTCTCGAAAGTGCGTAGGATTTCGGGGGTATGCCTATTCACCAAAAATGATTGTAATTGACTCCCACAATTGAAAATATTTTTTTTGGAACGATTTGAAATTTTTTAATTTTGTTGAAAAATTTCACACATACTCGAATTTTTGTCTCGAAAGTGGATAGGATTTCGAGGGTATGTCTATTCAGCAAAAATGATTGCAATTGACCCCTGCACCCAAAAATAATTTTTCCCGAATGATTTGTAATTTTTTAATTTTGTCGAAAAACTTCTAGTATAACTTAAAGTTACAGTTTCTTTTCGGTTATAAAATAATGGGTGTAAGGTCGTAGCACTTTGTGTAGTGTATAAAGCAGCCATAGAAATATGAAATTCATACCGTAATTCGATTAATCCGCTCGTCTAACACGTGTGGCTGCTCCAGAACGATCTCGTACGAAAAGAGTCTGTCGTGGGCCGCTTTAAATTCTGTACGCAGAGCGGTTAATTCGCGATGAAGCGCGTTGGCCATTTGAGTCTCCTCGACTCTAGCCGTCAGTGACTCCCATTTCTCCATCGTACCTGAAACACAGAAACGTTCCACGTCAGTGTTGATCGAACGAAACACGCGTCGGGAGTCCACTAGAAATTTCGAAACTACAAACTACTCTTCCCCATTAATTTCAGAGGAAGAAAACACAAGCGTGCATAGAAAGTTAGACTTTACGTTAAAAGCATACGAAGCGATTCTAATATCAAACTGCAGCTATGTTCTAACAGATAATAACAAAGGTTTTTGAAAGTATACAACATTTTTCTCTTCGTTTTTTCTACTTTCACGAGAGAACTATGAGTCCAACTCGGTTACTAGAGTCACCATTTGTACTGGTTTCGATCATCGCTTTCGAATAAAGAACGCAGAATTCTGAGAAAGTAAAAGAAAATTAGAGCGTTAGGCGTAACGGGACAGTTTAATAAAAATAAATAATTCAACGTGCGTGGATACATCTAATTAAAGAGAAAAGATAGCAAACGTTAATACTTAAACATGATAAGACAAACATTTTTAACCTTATTTATAGTTTCTTTTCAAAAGGGGGTTAAAATCGACGAATCGAAACATTTCACGGGTATTTCAATAATTTTCCGATTACGTCTCTCTTTGTGCGATACAGCAGCGTCACAGGCGGAAGCGTTCTTGTGCAATTACACGAGTTTGCTTCAGCTCGCGTACACCGATATCACTATTATTGCACATCGTTTGCGACGCTGGTATTCCAGACAACTTGCACACGACCGTCATTATGTCAGCGAGAATTAGTGGCCGGACATTTAAGGTCAAGCAGCTTATATCTGCACGCATATATGCGCTTCGCATGGCTTCAATGACCTGCTTCTTGTTTCATACTTTCCTTCGGAACTTTCTTCTTCGAAACTATGTTGCCCTTAAAAAACACGCGCGTATAATCCCGCCAGGCGATTTAAAGAGCAGACTGACACCGTTTCCAGCTGTCAGTTACAATTGAAAGGACTCTCGTTTCGTGAAATTTAATTTTATATTCGCGTGCAACGAGCCTCGAAATTCAATTCCATTATTATAATTTTAAACGTCGCGTACAAAACATGACAACAATTCTTACTTGCACGATCTTATATGAAATTGGAATCTTATATAAAGCTGTTGGGATTCAAACGATCCTACTTTAGTTGAAATATTTATTAATTAACGTGACTACTTTTGGTGCAACGCAAAATCAAGACCATTAATATGCGATTTAATAAGCACGTGATATGTGCAATATTCAATCGGTCAGATTAAAATGAAAATTAATACTTAGAGAATTAATATATATTTAATGTATATTTATTATCGTGATTTATAATTAGATCGGATAAATTTAACCAATTTACAAATTAATTCGATAGAATTAAAAATAGAGAGATAATTCGATCAATGGATATACGAGTTCCAACGAATGGAAGTTTATCGATAATTCTACGCTAATTTTCTGCAGAAAGAGTTTTCCAGACCGGGCGTAAAAATGTCACGGTATTTATGCTTTCCCCGGGATACCAGTTATTGCAATTTTTACACTCTCCGCGGCATCCGGTGTGTTTTTCACACCCGACACGAACGGTCTTAATGTTTTTCAATTAAACGAGCATTAATGTCGATAATAGCAACGTTGATGTATTTTCTTACTCACGATGGTAGTTAATATCGCCTGGCAATCAGGCTTATACCGTTGGAAAATTGGAGGAAACAATTTAATTTTCGTTATTTTTAAAGAATAGGCTTCTATTAAAATATGCAACTCGAGAAGATCGATGCATTTAAATTATTTTATAAAATGCGGTCATCCGATTAACGCAGAGTAAATAAATAATTATTGTAGGTTACAAGGTGCGGTTGAAAACTGCTTTAATATATTTCTTTTTAGCCCTCCACGAATAGACCATAATTTGATATTTTTTCTAGATGTTTTTTCGAGGGTTAATTAGTATTATAAATTCTTTATTGAACTCTGTATAAAGGCAGGTAAAAATTGGACAGAACTTTGTCGATTTAAAACGCCTGAGCGTCGATGACCCGTTCGATAAATTATCTAGAAATTTCAGCTTTCGTTCAATTAAACGCGTGTACGTGCAATTCGTAAGACGTCTTCGCGCGAACGGGATAAGTTATTCGGTGAAAGCCGATCGAATTCTCCTTTCTGTCGCTGCATGGTAGCCGTGGCCAACGCGAGTACGGAGTAATTACCGTCCCGTAAACAGAAACAAGAATTCAAAGAAAGTGAACAGATACGGAGAAAGGAGTACCGGGGTCAGGATCGCGATTAATTAACTATACCGCGGACAGTAATTAATAACGACTGATCGCTCAATAACGACCGTAACGGCCAACGATCATTGAATTCGCAACGATTTACGAAACGAGACAACAATAAGCATTTACAGCGATAAGAACGTTCGGTTAGCCGAGCAGATTTACGCGCGTTGCGTTCGACCGTAGATCGAGATTTAACCGGCTAATGGAATTTACCGAAAAACGAGCAGAAAGTGGACGAACATAGGTCGACGGTGTAATAGGCTTTCTAGATAGTGTATGACTTTCATTTTCTAAGCTTCTTTCTGCCTCTTTTTGCTCCGTGTCTTTATTGCACAACGTTTGTTATATTGCTCCGTGTAAGGTAAACATTCGTTTGAGAAACGTAATAAAAGCGTGCGGATAAAAGCAAAGTGCTGATTCTAAATCTAGCAATGACTTCGATCGACGATTTACAACTACTATCTGGATACTTTACCGAGTATTAACGAGAGATTAGTTTAAAAAAGAAAATTTGATATCAGCTAGAGTATTATTAATTTTATTTTAGATTCTATATTTAACTGATTTTTCTCAATTTCCATTGGTGAATTGGAGCTCTGTCTATAGTTTTTTAAGTGAAATATAATTTTCCATAATTCAGACTAAAATTTTTACTGAAATTCATCGAAGAAGGTTAACCATCTCGGGTGCACTAACAGTGCAACGAGACAAGAAATAATAAGAGAAGCTTGGAGGAAATTGCGCTCGGTATAAAGAATGTGGAAGTAACGGTTGAGAAGAGATAAAAAAAGGAAAGGACAAAATGAGAAGCAAGTTGAACGAATCCAAAGTCAAACGTTTAAAGGAAGTAGGATAAGCCGTTTAATATCAAGAAAGAATAAAGCAAGGATGTAATCCTCTACGAAATGGACGACACAAGTCCATGTTACAGTTAATTAAACATTGCGAAGTTACTTTAATCGTTGCAACAAATTGTCAATAGAAATGTATCTAGGATGCTTCTCGTCTTTGAAAGGAGAATCTATTTTAGGAATTCGAATATTATATCGCGATTACTGTCGCGTGAACGGTGCAGGTAACGAAGTCATGGCTCGGAGGAATACTAACACGCTCATCGGCAAAGATCCAACGAGAATCATCTAATCTCGTTCGTTAACATCCAATGACGATAGCAAACAAAAATAACTCGAAGGCCATCTGCGCTTTTCCATCCACGTTCGACATTGAAGTTTCGTCTGCGTTCGCTCTGCCAGATCTCTCGTGTTTACTATGGCGTCTACCATACGTAAAAAATCGTTTATTTGATGTATCGAATGCTGGAGGAAAGGAAGACACTCTGTTGAAGTGACATCCGATCGAAAAACGATCGTTCCGCGAATCGTTCGGCCGTAAAATAGAAGCGTGAAAAGAATTTCTAGGTTGAAGAAAGAAACGGTACATCGACTTTTTCACGGTTTTCTCAGAAAACAAAACTTTCACTTCGCGATGGGTGGGTCGTAAAAACCGCCGCGCGGCGAACTATAGGCGATGAGTGAAATCTTCAGAGGAGGGGGGGACAGAAAAATGGGTCGTGGTCTACCGTTCGACGGAAACAAAGAAACCTTCGAGAGCCTGTCTAAATAAATGGAAACTAAATTTTTAAATCGAGCAAAAATTTACGGCGCTTTTGTTACTTTTTTTCAAGCATAATTTAATCCCTGAATTCTGGTATTTGATAACCGATTTACATGGATGTGTAAAATAGTATTTAAATTTCCCGTTGACCATTGGTCGTCTGAATCATGCGTGCAGGAATGGATTCTAACAGCTACGCGATCATCAACGGATGCTCCAAAGGAGAGGAACACGTTTTACGCGAGCATAAAAGAAACGACGAGTCTCGAAAACCAGCATCGGCGGAAAGCGATAAATTTCACGCTAATCCGCAGGAAATTATGTTACCAACCTGCATATTAACAGAAGTTACGAATTAAACTAGTCTTAATAAGGATGGAGCCTTTTTTCCATTTGTAAGACAGCAGTTACGCGTAAGGTTACACAAGATGTTGTCATATTCAGTTTCACCGGGGGGTCGTAGAAACAAACAACCCAATGGAATATTCATTTTTCGAACAACTTCTCCTATCACTTTTATCGCGACAAGCGTAAGATACTCCGAGCAAATAGAAATATAATTTATTACCGTTAGTTGATAGAATTTACGGAAGAAATTGAAGCTGTTTCGATGGTTACGAGTATCCGAACTTGTTCGATCGATTCTATTGTCGTTCGACGATTCGCCTGGTTAAAAATGTAACTCTCGTAAGCTTCTTGCGAACCGTGGTCGACTGAATTATACGTCTGCCTAACGGATCATTACGACAGCATGGTCATTAACGGACGTTTCAAAGGACAGGAACACGAACACGGTTTACACGTGCACAAAAGAAACGAGACACGGTGGAAAACAGTGTCGACGGAAAGCAATGAATTTCACACTGACCTACAGGAAATGATGGAGAATGTGCAGAATAATTGCCACCGCCGCGGCAAGACGTATCGTGTATTATATGTAATATACGTTCTGCGTTATCACGGTCGAACGATTGCGTTCAGTAGAGCAGAAATTGGTAGCCAGTCCGCTGGCTCTTCCTGCAAGCTATCCTTTTGTCTTCCTCGAGGACTACCGGGCGAACCTAACCGCCGTATCCTCGACAAACCAACGACTCTTGAATACAGAATCCGTAATATAATTTTAAAGCACGAACGACTC